CAATAATTATTGGCAAGAGAAATCTACAAGAGATTGTACAGTGCAATCAGAGAGATACAGTATGTCCACGTTTTTGAGCAAGTCCACGAATCCAGTCTTTGTCAAGTCTGTCACCACCTTCGCGCAGCTGCTGGCGCCACTTCGTCCGGTCCTCCGCCAGCCTCTCCCAGTTATCCGTCGCAATGTCCAGGGCCTTCATGTCACGTTTTACGGCATCCTTGAAGCGCAGCAGTGGTCGTCCTCTGCCTCTGGAACCAGCGCTCAGCTCGCTGTATAAGATGTCCTTTGGCAGGCGGCCATCTGGCATTCTGCGAAGGTGACCGAGCCACCGCAGCCTCCTGACCTTCAGTGTTTGGAACATTGACTTGCTGCCCGTACGCGCCAGCACCGCCTCGTTCGTGACCTTGTCCCGCCATGTGATCCCGAGGATGTTGCGCAGGCACCGCATGTGAAAAGCATTTAGCTCTCTTTCGTGCCGCGCGTAAGTTGACCACGCCTCGGAACCATACAGCAGGACGCTGACCACGCAACATTGGTAGATGCGTGTCTTAGTGCGCTCGGTGAGGTATTTGTTGCTCCAGGCTCTTGAGCGCAAACGAATGAAAGACGTTGCGGCTTTGCCGATACGAGTCTGGATCTCCTTAACTAATGACAGGTCACTGCTGATTGTTGAGCCAAGACAAAAAGAGAAGCCGCGCCTAAACACCGCAAGAATGAAATGCGCAGAAAATGTCATGGCATTCCGGAAGTAGGCCTATGTGTTAAAAGAATAACAACACAGTTAAGTGAGCCTAAGGGGTTAGAGGCTTATTCCACACATACAAAGCAAAATAATTGGTTTCTACAATTAACCAGAAGAATAAAACTTCATGATCTGGGTAGTAACTATTACTTTTTTGTATGTGTCTGTTTGTGTGTTTGAGATTGTTGTTGTATGCGCTTGTACACACAGTAATTGTGTTCTCTCTGTAAAACACTTTGTAACCTGTGTTAGTGTACATAGTAAATCATGAGACAGTTACCAATACATACAGGCAAGAAACAGGCATTCTTTCTCTCACACCAAAAATGACTGAACATATTAAAAACATTAAAAAAATCGTTAACATTTTACACTTTTTCTCCGTAGGAAAATCTGCAGGAACTGTAAATGTGGGCTGACGGAGCACAACGTGCAGATGATCTCTGAGGAGAACAAGAAGGTGGGGAAGCTGTTCGAGGACACCAAGTACACCGGCCTGATCGCCAAGCTGAAGACGGACGGCGTCCCCAGCTACCGCGGCAACATGGTGACCATCTCCATGCCCAGCAGCGGCACCGCGTACATCGTGCCGCCCGGTGCCTCCTCTTCTTCTGTGGTGCGTCCGCCTGCCACCGCTGGTTCTATGCAGCCAGCAGGGGGCGCTGCAGGTCCAGCAGGGGGCGCTGCAGGTCCAGCAAGGGGCGCTGCAGGTCCAGCAGGGGGTGCTGCAGGTCCAGCAAGGGGCGCTGCAGGTTCATCAGGGGGTGTTCGTCCTCCAGCAGGGGGCGCTGCAGGTCCAGCAGGGGGTGTTCGTCCTCCAGCAGCCAGCCTCACGCCCCTGAAGGCCAACAGAGTGCCCGTCACTGTCAGCCTCGCCTCAGCCAACACGGTGCCCAGAGACGTGCCCATGATGTCCGTCACCTACGAGTGGGCTCCACCTGTCGCCAATAAGTACCTGGTAAGAGTTCAAACTGTGGGCTGAAGTGACGGGATCAAAGTAGGGATGGGAATGATTAATCGAATGTTTGAAATGATTCAGGTATTCGAATATGAGTTATGAATATTTTTATTGTAATTCCTTTTTTTTTTGATGGGAGGGGTGCCTAAATTTATTACATATTAATGTATACGACAGTGCCATTTTAATATGTTAAGAGAAATATCGAAGAAAGTAAATAGGGCTGCAAGATTTTGAAAGAAATGTGCAATTGCGATATGGCTTGCAATATTGAAATACTGTCCGTCTGGAAGTCCTGTATCTGTTTGTTTAGTCTGCTACTGAATCTGCAGTACTCTTGTTTTGCACATTTTCTCACCACAAACCTCTGTTTTAAACACGTTGTTGTTCAAGTATTTCCTCTCAGTCTCTTTTCTGATTGGTCCTTAACTTCCTGTCTGAGCCCTTCACCTCTCTGGCCTTTTCACAGTCTCTGATTCTTCCCATGTCTTCCCCCTCTCTCTCTTCCAGGCGGCGCGGTACATCGAGCTGCTTCCCGCAGAGAAGCGTCCGGTGGCCGGTACCGAGGGAGCCGTGTACCGCCGGCAGCAGATGGCCCGCCAGCTGCCAGAACACGACCAGGACCCGGCCCAGTGCCACGAGTTGAGCCCCGCCGAGGTCAAGCAGATGCAGCAGTTCGTCAGAAAGTACAAGGACGAGGCGTTGGGCGTGGCAGACGTCATCCTGCCCGAGGAGATGGCTCTGGTTCGGGCCGGGGGAGGAGCTGGAGGGGCTCACGGTGCTGGAGGGGCCGGGTATGGACCGGGAGGAGTGGGGGCCGGAGCTGGAGGTCCTGGAGCTGGTTATGGTGCTGCAGCTGGTTATGGAGCTGGTTATGGGCCAGGGAATGCAGGTCCTGGAGTTGGTGCTGGTTTTGGAGCTGGAGCAGGAGGTAGAGGAGCTGGTGCTCCTGGTTCTGCTGGTGCTCCCGGTGTTCCTGGTTCTGCTGGTTATGCTGGTGTTCCTGGTTATGCTGGTGCTACTGGTTATGCTGGTGTTCCTGGTTCTGCTGGTGCTCCTGGTGTTCCTGGTGCTACTGGTTATGCTGGTGTTCCTGGTTCTGCTGGTGCTCCTGGTGTTCATGGTTCTGCTGGTGCTCCTGGTGTTCCTGGTTCTGCTGGTGCTCCCGGTGTTGCTGGTTATGCTGGATATGCTGGTGTTCCCGGTTCTGCTGGTATTGCTGGTGTTCCTGGTTCTGCCGCTGTTCTTGGTTATGCTGAGGTTTCTGGTGTTCCCGGTGTTCCTGGTTATGCTGGATATGCTGGTGCTCCTGGTTCTACTGGTGCTCCCGGTGTTCCTGGTTATGCTGGATATGCTGGCGTTCCTGGTGCTCCTGGTTCTGCTGGTGCTCCCGGTGTTCCTGGATATGCTGGTGTTGCCGGTGTTCCTGGTTCTGGTGTTGCTGGTGCCCTCCCAGGGCCCGGCTCAGGAGCGATGGGTGCTCCTGGATCTCAGCAGGCTGGACTCCCACAGCAGGCCTTCGTAAGTCGATCATTTATTTATCATCAAACACGTTGCTACTTCAAAGAAAACTGTATACATTAAGGCCAGATAATCGGTTGAAATTATTATAACGTATTTAAAAATAATATCTCCAGATTCTACAACTTTTAAAACTTTAAAAAGTGCCTAAAAAAACTTTTCCCCCATCGTTTTAGTTCAAACTTCCCTTTAAAGTTTGTTCAGAAATAATAATTGCCCAACTTTATATTTTGTCTGTGTGCCACTTTAGCTTTAGTGAAACAGCTATTTAAAGTGCTTTTATTGAACTGAATGGACTCTTTCAAATGGTTTAATATTGATAACAACCAAAGAGAGAGGGAACAATTATTCTTCTTTACTACCACATCATTCCTGTTTATTATACAATAGGCGCTTTCACACTGGAGTACTTTTCCCAGAATAGTTCAGAAAATGTGCGTTCACACCAAAAAATACGGAACTAGAATTTAGTTCATGAGAACCTTTTCACCCCCTTTTCCGTCCCTGCTAGAGAGCAGGGACTTTCGTGGGAGAAAAAGGTTCCTTTTTCTGATTGGCTGGGCGGATTGCAAACCACGGCCCGTAAAACTCCCAAAAAGTTTTGTGAAGCCGCCATTTTATTTTCCTCGCATTAGCATTATTAGCATTAGCATTATTAGCATTAGCCCAGCGCACAAACGCAGAGAGACTAACTTATCGCAACACAAAAGAGTGGAGATGAGGAGGTGTCCCCAACTCCGGGGACTTCCGGCCGGGACTTCGGGTGGCAGTATACACCATAGATATATATAAACACTAGATGACTCACCCGCGCTGCTGGCCAATGGAGACCGACGTTGCCACATGGCGGCCATCTTGCCACAGGCAGCTCGCTCATTCATAGCATTATGTCTATGGTACACTATTGAAATAACCGCAGATTGCTCAATTTTCAACCAATTTTCAAACGGTTTGGTTTGTTATAAACATCAAAGATGTAGTTATGATACTACATGCTTATAATTATAATCATGAACTCTTTTTTTTCAACATGTCTTGTTGTCTCCTGTATCATAGCGTTTATAATAAACCAAACCGTTTGTAAATCAGTCAAGATTTCAGCGAGTTAAGAGTATTTTTGTGCAGATCACTCACCTCACAACAGCTGTAGCAGTAGTTGTTGACTGTGGCAAGATGGCCACCGGTGAGCTACGCTGGTGACTCCCCCTTCAGCCATCTAGTGTTTATATATATCTATGGTGACAGCCATGAAGTTGTTTGCGGCCTGCCAGTAATCCCAAAGCAGAAGAAGTGACGTCAGCGGCTTCATTTGCGTAATCCTCCCTCAGGGACTGATTCCGGTGTGAACGCGATCTATAGTTCATCAGAACTAAAGAGTTCTGATGAACTAAGTACGGCATACTACTTGGTGTGAAAGCGCCCAATGAGTTAACCAATGAAAATAAATTGCGAGGACACACTATCTTATGTTGAGGCTACAGTTCAGTAGGAAGCAGTCAATCCTTCCTTACTCTCGGGGCGCTGTGCTGAAGTGGATCCACGAAATACAATTAATAATAATAACAAATTTAGGTAATAGGGAACTTTTTGCACTTGGTTGCAAACAGGCTTTATTGTGACATAGCATTTGGAAATAATAAGCACCAGATTAAATGTAATGACTGTTATTTTAACTGAATATTTGTATTTGAATTAGACGTCTGCTTTGTCAGGAAAACACATTTTTTTTACAATCAGCAAAAAAAACTTTAAAAACATCATATATGGCATTATATGCATCAACAACAACATAAATACAATCAATAAATTGAAATATCTCAAATAAACTATTTTGTTTTTACCAAATTGACAATGCTGCACTTCACTCTAGGTCCAATACTTACTTTTGAGATGTCTTTACAACCAGGTTTTAATTACGGAAATAAACAACATTAAACCTGATGTTTACACAGTGCATTACTGCCACTATGAAAGATGTTCCTGAACTCAACACCAGGTGGAGCTGTGAGACCAGCTCTTGCTCTGCATCACGACTAACAGAGTTTTTTTAACATCACCATGTGCCGCTGTTAGATCCTGCTGTGTGCAGTCTTATGATTTAAGATATTTCTCTACTTTCTTTATCCTCCTCCTTATTCATTCCTCACATTATACGTAGCTGCACAATCTCAGGAACACTCTCTTCTCTCCTGGAACACAACCATGTATTTACTTATCTCTGACTTCCCCTTAGCTCCACCAGCTGCCATGCTATCTTGATGAATCTCACCAGGGTCACTGTGGGCTTCTGTATTATAACGGGGAAATCCGCCCTTTAAAGCAGTAAAATGGGCTCTTTTCATTCATAGAGTGCAGATACTTCAAATGCTCCCTTATAAAATGTGATGTGTCAGATCAAACGAGGCCTTCATGACTTTGAAATGGACTCAAAGAGAAGGCTACTGGCCTTTGTGTACAGGAAGTACATACAAATCCTTTGTAATGATTAAAGGGGATGAAAGAATAAGTATTTGGGGGACAGGATGCTACTGTCTAACACAGTGTTATTTTATGTACATGCAATTTTCCGGATAGTGTTGCTCCATATTAAAAAGGCATTGTGTGTCAAATGTATTCAAATAGGACGACAAACTCCTAATTTGCAGTTTAAATAATTATGAATCAAGTCATTTAAATGAAGTCATTTCAAGGTTCAAGGCTTTTATTTGTCATACGTACATAGCTAGAGTGTAGTTGTGACGATGAAAGTCTTAGGTCACAGGCTCCTCCCACAATGCAACACAATAACACAAAAAAACGGAAAAAATAGTGCAAGTAAATACAAAAAGAAAAATAGTGAAATAAAATGTATAAGAAATCCTAAACACTCCCTCCTTCCGTCTTTTCAATTATGAGAGTGAATAATTTGCAGTAATTGATTATTAATCAATCAACATCAAGTCCTTTAATTCAACTAATTTATCAAAAATCTTTAACATTCACTTTAACAACACCAATTTGGAACTAATAACAGAGCTAATAAATATTGTTTTTATTTCATTATTACATGACTTAGGCCTTTTGGTTATGAAAAAAGTAAAAAAAAACAATTTGAAGGTACAAGTAAAGGTAACTAAAACAACTTCATGTATTAATAATATCAAAAATATTATAAACAATTGAGCCATACTTAATCCTTTCATAAACCAACGAGACACGCAACTCAATGATTCAACTTGATGTATTGTCACCTGGTGAAGCACCATGTTGTTGATTAACTAGAGCTCTCAAATTCTCTTCTTCTTCTTCTCTCCTCTGTAGACGTGCAATCACTGCCAGCAGCCGATGCGAGTTGGCGAGCCGGCGGTGTACGCAGAGCGCGCCGGATACGATAAGATGTGGCACCCCGCCTGCTTCGTCTGCTGTAACTGCAGCGAGCTGCTGGTGGACATGATCTACTTCTGGAAGAAAGGCAAGCTGTACTGCGGACGCCACTACGGAGACAGCGAGAAGCCGCGCTGTGGAGGCTGTGATGAGGTGGGGACAACATTGGGACTTACTAAAGGTCACCTATTGTGTAAAATCCACTTCTCCATGTCTCTTCTACATCAACATGTGTCCCCTCTTCTCCATGTCTCTTCTACATCAACATGTGTCCCCTCTTCTTCATGTCTCTTCTACATCAACATGTGTCCCCTCTTCTCCATGTCTCTTCTACATCAACATGTGTCCCCTCTTCTTCATGTCTCTTCTACATCAACATGTGTCCCCTCTTCTTCATGTCTCTTCTACATCAACATGTGTCCCCTCTTCTTCATGTCTCTTCTACATCAACATGTGTCCCCTCTTCTTCATGTCTCTTCTACATCAACATGTGTCCCCTCTTCTTCATGTCTCTTCTACATCAACATGTGTACCCTCTTCTTCATGTTTCTTCTACATCAACTTGTGTCCCCTCTTCTCCATGTCTCTTCTACATCAACATGTGTCCCCTCTTCTTCATGTCTCTTCTACATCAACATGTGTCCCCTCTTCTTCATGTCTCTTCTACATCAACATGTGTCCCCTCTTCTACATCAACATGTGTCCCCTCTTCTTCATGTCTCTTCTACATCAACATGTGTCCCCTCTTCTTCATGTCTCTTCTACATCAACATGTGTCCCCTCTGTGTAAAGAGACTCTGAACGTTTCAGGA